AAAATTACGAAGTAGACTGGACATAAACCACACATCTCCTATTACCCCGAGATGGGACCGTCTGGGTGCAGAAAATCAAGCTCGGTGCTGTGGTGAGTCGTCATTTTCATGCACTTTGAATTTGCGTTGTATCGTATTTTGAAGGCATTAAACATTGCCATAGCGATCGGAGTGTTGCGGCCAGATTAGACGCTCCTTGTGTTTATTATTATATTTCGAAAACACCACAGTTTGCATGCAGCTCATACCATATTATTTTGTTGTATTAATTCACCACACCTTAAATGTCGGTCCCTGAAAATATTGTCTGACTTAAACCGGTCCGTGGGGCAAAGGCGGTTGGGGACCCCTGCTTTAAACGGTGGACGCCGAGCGTCCGCAGAGCATCTATTGCCCGGACTCCGGGCTTCTCGAGAGTTCAGGGTAGGTTGTCCCAATGCGTTGAACGGAGACGAGTCATTGGATACAAGCTGGTTTTTGTCCCGCCCACGGACGCCCGGCGTCTCTGGGAGTCTATGGACAGTGGGCGTGTATCGGCCCCGCCTGGACGCTGAGCTTTCTGCATGAAGATTGGATGATCAGAGGCGGAATCTCGTTATGATTGACAGCAACATGAGCCAATCACCGATCTTATAGTGTAGGCATCCGTGATAGCATTTTTCAATTCTCATTCTGTTCTGAGTTGAACTGGAGACTTCTAGTCATCTCGAATGGCAACACTCTCTTTGTTGAAAACGACTAGCGACAGATTAATCTTTTATTTCTGGTGTGTTTTATTGTAGTTGCTTGTGTTCGCAGACTGACTTATATCACCACAGTTAAGAACCTGGAAAAGACGCCTTGTTGGTATGCCAGGGTCACAGATCATTTTCTTGAAAAAGAACGGAGAGTAGAATTCATGTAGAATATATATATTTTTTTTTTTTTTAAGTTTAGCATCATTCTTCAGCAAACTGGGCGCCCGTCGGTGAGCTCGAGGACCTTCTGTCAGTCCTGATGGAATGAACTAATTTGATAAATAAGATAAATGTAAATGTCAATTGAAAATGTTTTTTCATACTTTATTTTAGTTTGTTATGTACATCAAAATAAATGAATCAATCAGTTAGTCCATAAAAATGGACCAACTAAATTAATGGAATAAATATCTTCAAGAACAATTTAACCCCCATGTCCACAGAAAAATCATTTAATCCTTTAACACTCACTGAACTGAGCTCTCACTCCATTACCAGTCTTGTACTGTCTTGAGTGTCCAGGTGTACCTAATGTTGTGTCTCATCTATCTGCAGATAAGAGAGTGGTCTTGAAGCTTTACAGCTGGGAAAGCTGCTGCCGGATAAGTGCAGCACGTGCATGTGTGCGTGCGTGTGTTTGCATGGGAGCGGCCATGTCTCCTCAGGGCAATAAATCACTAAGCACTTTCTCTGGTTTTATGGACTTAAAAGCATCTCGTGGATGCGGTTTGGACGAGTCCACCTTGTTTTGCAGTGGTAAAATTCGGCATCTGCTGCTGCTTAAACAGCGCGCATCCCAAATAAATTGTGAATTCATTAAAACAACTGATGTTAAACGTCTGTCAACCTGGTAGAGAAGGACAATGACACCTCAAATCTATGGGAGGACTTAGATCAGCAATCACATTTTACATTTTACAATTTTCATTGAAAAGAGATGAGCTTTTGCGGAACCTATCCTGTTTTTGTGTTATTTCTGAAACATCCGAATATGCCATTAGATCTATTCAAAGCGCTGTCTAAATAGCAAAGTAATACAGTAATTGGTATCAAGGATTTAAAAGTTTTTCAAAGAATCAGCAGTCATTTGGCACTTTTGTTTTTTTTTTGTTTGTTTGTTTTGCTTTGTCTGCTAGCGCAAACTTGAAATACAAGTTCTCCATGGTGACAGTGAACCCAAATCAACTAAAAATTCATTTACAAGCTATTTAATAACACTCCCAGTTGAAATTTATTGTCACACTAAAAATAAAGACTTACGCATCATGTTCAAAGGAACATAGCATTGAAAAAGTCCACTTAGCTTAATGCAAACAAACGACGCAAAATGCTGTTGACATGCTAACGCAAAATGCTGTTGACTTGCTAACAGTTAGCATCAGTAGTTGCGGTTTTAGAAGCCTTAGGCTTAAACATAAAAGAGATGTATTTTAACAACCAAACTAATGTGCCTTCAGAATGACATCCTCCGCTAGCTAAATGCTAACATATCATGGAAGATGCAATTGACATGCTCATGGTTTGAGGTTCCATGCTTATAGTTTTACCACCAGTTAAGATAAGGAGATTTGAACACAAATGGTGGAGGAAGACTTTAGACTGATCACATAACAATAGTCACAGACATATAGTCTTTATCCTCTTCGAAAAATGACTGCTATTACAGCAACACGCTGAGTCAATTAGACTAGTAAAAGAAGTCTATTGTTTTTCATTTCTGTCGACATAACTGTACATTATAAGACTGCCACCTGGTGTCCAGGTGAGCATGAATTGGATTGCAGCAGTAAGTCATAATGTAGAAAGTCTTTAATTCTTTACACTATATTATTAGGTTCTATTATTAGTATATACAGTCATATTATTTTTCTTGTGAACAAATACAGGCACTATTTTTTTGTTTGTTTGTTTTTGTGGGAGCCTGGAATGGATGAAACTCTTTGGTCACAAAACCTATTAAACTGGCACCACTGTACAAAATGATGCATCTGATAGACAGGCTTTGCATGTCAAAGAAGAGTTAAGTGTATTCTGCGTTGTTCATGGGAGTCGTTGTCGCATGTGCATGAACACCCAAAAACCACAAGACACATCCTGGTTCTCAGTATAACATTTCAAATCAATGGAATAAAGTTTAGCTGGTTGATTATCAACTCAGCAGTCAAACTGTAATGTATTTTTCATCCTCTTTGGCGCTTAATTGAGCAAGGAGTCAAGCAGCGGGGGGAACATTTATATGCGTTTATGGTTCCAAGTTTCCAGAACTCAGCGCAATCCAAAGATATGTTGACGAGACAATTCAAGATAGAGAGATGGCTTGCAGATAACATCTTGCATTATCACAATATGAAGGAAGTGGACTTTGGGGTCAAGTGTGCTTTCTTTTTCTTTATCAGTGCGCATGTGTCTCACACACACACACACACACACACGCACACGCACACGCACACACACACACACACACACACACACACACACACACACACACACACACACACAGACTGCAGACATGACTATAGACTAATGAGAGACGTGCTTCTGGACATGACAATGGACTTGATGATAAAATGTATATAAGAAATTTTCATAGACTTGACAATGGACATGATTATAGAATGATCAAAGATGTGACCGTAATGTACCATACTGTAGCTGTTCCTGGCATGCCCAATACGTGAGGCTGCACCTCGGTTACTGTGTAATAGTTTCGGATTTTTCATGATGGTTATATTTTATTTCATTGTAACTTTTAATTTTTACATTCACTTAATTTTAATGTTTTCAGAGAAGGTTTGTTTGTTTGTTTTTATTTTTTTTCAAAAATGATTTGTTTTAGTTGAAAATGTCTTAGTATTTTTTTTTAATATAAACATCAAACAAATGTCTCGAACATACAGCAATACCACAATGAATATATTTAA